GATACAATAGTGTCGTAGACGTTGTGACAGCTTGGGGCAAAGCAGAGAGCTGAGTGAGGCAGGAGTCGTGGAATTCGGTGCGGGCGAGCGTGGCGGCTCGATGCGGAATCGTGAGTGTTTAACCTCGATGCAGTCGTAGTCTGATTGCTCTGTGTCGAATCTGGAGCGTCTTGGGGTCGATAAGCACTGCATACCCCGAGTGCTACATTCTTGAGGTTGAAGAGGTGTAGTAACTCCGAACCGTCTGAACTGAAGTTAACTGAATCACTGTGGAAATTGTACTGTTGGCTATTCGCTTCTCGCTTGCTTATATTGGGTGACTACACCTCAACTTCCTCCAATAGGATGGAAAGAATGTTACCTGTAATTAGGGAAAGGATTTGAGTAGTCATAATTAGTGCTAATGAGTTTGTCATTAAGGTAATGAGAGATTGGAGCGAGTATATTGTTTACTCCCTACAATATAAATACCCTCCAGGTATTTGCAGGGAAATTACTAGTGGGACAAAATGTAAATCATACAGTCCACTCACTCTATAGAAGAGAAAATTAATATAAAATTAAAGATAAATAATTTAATGAATAAATATTTAAATAAATAATTAAATCCGGCTTGTCAGTTTTCCCCACAATGCCAATGATGGCCTTTAATCGGGCATTTTTGAAGAATGCGTGGTTGAAATTAGGGTTTCACTAATGTAGGTCAATGAAGCCAGGCAGCTTCCTGAGAAGGGGCTGCAATGACATGTGAACCAGTACGGGTGGGGTTAAAAGTGACAAAGGTATCCACGGAATCAACTAGGTGTTTATGGATGAATAAATCATCAGGACGTGTAGGATCAACATTGAGATCAAAATACTTAGTCCATTTGTTTATCCACCAAACAAATCCTGGAATGTAGGAGATCGGGAAGGAATCATGCGAGTGTGGAGGTGACGGCACCGAGCACCCCCAATAAGAGGGGGAATAAAAGGTACAGTTGTCCCAATGAGCGAGTGAGCCACTCTAGTTGATGAGGTGGTCGCCACGGGAGGCTTGGGGCTCTACCCAGCCACAGGTAGGATGGGAGCAGACAGAGACAGTCGGGAGAGTCAGAGAAGCAGCCTGGTTTGGGCCCAATATAGCAGGAGCTACTGAGCCCAGCATTCCATCACAATCCGACTCGGTGGCCTGGTCGCCCACTGAGAAGTGAGTGAGTGAGGGTCAGAAATCGGCATAGAAACGAACAAGAATATAATTTCGTTCACGATGAAGCCCCCATACCCACGATGGAGCCACAATTAGACAATAGGACACCCGACAATTCGGGGCCCCCCAGGAGTGCATCGTGGATATACGCCTCGCAATCGTCACCTTAAGAACCGGTCATCCGTCGAGATGGGGCTCAGCAACGAAGGCAAGGTTTGGCATAAAAGCATCGCCCTCACTCGACAATGTCGGATACCACAATTCTATGAGTGAGAGAGTGTGCCTACCCAAACACCCGGCGTCAAAACAGAAGAAGACATCTAAAAAGAATATTCAAGAATGACAAAAGGTTGGTTGGAAGAAACATTCAGAAAGAAGAAGGGGTAGGGAAGAAAATTAAACATGAGAATTAATTTGATGGATTAAGATTCTGGCCACCCAAGAGGTGACACGGGCATGAATACCCTGTAAGCGGAAGCTGTTTGGTGCCATTACCAGTACCCATTAGCTGATACTGTAGATCTGTAAATGAATGGGGTCTTTATGGTCGCTCGCAGTTTATGTCCTGCTTGGCTGTTCAGGTAGGTGGCTTATAGATGGATGCATCTTGTTTCGTCTATCCTCAGCTTAATTCAGCGTCTCTTCTTCGTCATGCCGTCGACCAGGTCGTCGTGGAGTTCTGACTGTTCATCGCGGTTAGGTCTTGTAGTACTTAGGGTCGTAGTACTCCTTGGGTAGTATTGAGAGGTCGATGTAGCACTTCACGGTTTCGGCGTTGACGTATAAGATACGACGTACACAGTGTCTTTTCCGTCGATAGTCTTGTTGCAGTGATGGGCCAGGTCTCGTATCGTTTTCACTATCATACGGTGGAGACTCGAAGCAGGGACCAACCGCTGGTGAGGGTGCTCAGGCGTGGCGTCGTCGTTGTTCCTTGATGATGCGGTGTCGGCTGAAGTGTGAGAGGCGTTCAACCGAGGGTCCACCTCCGGTGTAGGGTCGGGTATGAGGTCCACTTCTGGGTCGTCCGTCTGGGTGGCTGCATTCGAATTCGCCTTGATGGTAGTGGTAGTAGCTGCGTGTTGCCGCGAGGAGTATGTAAGGAACCACTGTGTTCAGAAGGTCGTTGGCATATAGTAGCATATTGAGTGTAGCCACAAATCTGTGATTGTCAGTCCCAGCAATCCTCTCACTAAAAACCTATGAGAGCAGGTAGCAAGCTTTCTTGTGTGGCCTGCAGTGGTGGCGACTGCTGGGTCATACGTAGCCAGTGCGGTGTTCTGGAAGTGGTTACCCCAGGGAGAGGTGGGCTGTGTCGTGGCGTTTGCATTGCCTTGCAACGCGGGGAACACTGCCGACTGGATGTTGATCTCCGCGGTCGGATGCGTAGTGGAGAGATCTTGCTTCAGTCATCTTCTTGAGTTCTTCTTGCCGTACTGGACAGTCTTGGAAGATGGCGGTGTCGGCGTCCCCGTAGTTGATGCACATCTGTGTGGTCATCTGGCACGCCTTGTAGTGCACGCAACCTGTCCTCTTAAAAATAACGTCGCTTTTGGCCGTTTGCCCGTATGGCCGAAAGTGGACGTAATTTGAAAATGAAAAAAAAATGAAAATAAATTTGGGATTTTTTTTTTCAACAACAGTAAGTTAAGGGTCCTCTGGTAGGTTAGGTGGGCAGGAAACTCTCATAAAGTTTCAAAACGTTATGAAAAATGTTAATTAAAAGTTTCCTCTCCTAACCTTAGCGAGTGAGCCGGACGACTCAATCAGAAAACGGAACAGTACGTCACTTTTGTGAGTTGATTTAATTTCAAATTACGTCCAAATTTGGCCATAGCGCTCAAACGAGCCAAAAGTGACGTTATTTTTAGGAGGACGGGTTGGTCCTGTGTGAATATGCTGCACTTGTCTGTGGTCAGAGAGCATTTCTGGGTGAAGTGACCATATTTGTAGCATCTGAAGCATTGCCTCAGCTGCAGGAAACACCTGAAGCTGTTGGCAGTAGCTTGGGTCGCTGCTGTTGCAGTGGAGAAGGTGATCTTCATGGTCGGGAGTCTGGTGTCGTCGAAGCGAATGAGTTTGACAGTTACCGCGTTCAGGGCCTGGGTTCACGGAGTTAATACATTCAATAATTTCAGTTTCCGTCTCGGATGCGATGAGTGTGCTCACTCTACTTGCAAAGGCTGAGTGCTGGCCGTGTATCGACGTGGTGGGGTGAGGTAAAGGTCGGCTGCCTGCAGGGCGGTTTGGTGGGCAGAGGACAGGAGCTTCCCCGTCGCCTCCATACTGGTAAAGAGAAGTTCAGCTTCATTACTGTCTTCTCGGATGAAGCAGCGTCGGTGATTTCTGCGATCCTCTCGAGGATCTGTCGGCGTGAGAGCGGCTGGTCCCCTCTGAAGCCCATATTGATCTTATAGATCATATCGGCGGGTTGTGTCCACTGACGACGTAGGTAATCTCAAGTCCACCCCCTCAATGAGGACGCAGTTGCAGGAGAGAGTGAAGGAGGCAGACACCGCAGCCTGGAAGACACCTCCTCGACGAGGGTAGAAGTGGCAGACAGATGCGTGTCTCCTAGCTCTCCTTGAGCGAGAATGAACATGAGGAAGAGGAAAAAGCAACCACCAAAATTAGTGAAGACAACAGCAGGCACAATTACAGAGGCTTCAAAATGAAGGAAGACATATGCTGTCTCATGGAGCATCACTCTCCGACAGCCGCCCACTAAACCCCTTCACGAAGACAACGGGCTAAAATAGTAGGCCAGTCAGTGGCTTAGGGACTGGGCAGGAATATCCCTGAAAAAAAAAAAAAAGGCTGGAAAGGGAGGGGGGACTACTAAGAAGCAGGTGAAGCAAAGACCAGTAATAAACAGGTGAAATAAGGACTACTAAGAAGCAGGTGCGGTAAGGACCACATAGAATTAGGTGAGGCAAAGATCACTAAGAAGCAGGTGAGGTGAGGACTACTAAAAAGCAGGTGAGGCAAAGACCACTAAGAAGTATTTTAGACAAAGACCACTAAGAAGTATTTTAGACAAAGACCACTAAGAAGCAAGTGAGGTAAGGACCACTAAGAAGCAGGTGAGGCAAAGACTACTAAGAAGCAGGTGAGGTAATGAGCAGTAAGAAGCAGTGAGGTAAGAACCACTAGGAAGCCGGTGAAGAAAGGCACGCTAAGAAGACTGTGAGGTATGAACCACTTAGAAGCAGTGAGGTAATGACAAGTAAGAAGCAGTGAGGTAATGACCAGTAAGAAGCAGTGAGGTAAGGACCAGTAAGAAGCAGCGAGGTAATGACCAGTAAGAAGCAGCGAGGTAAGGACCAGTAAGAAGCAGTGAGGTAAGGACCAGTAAGAAGCAGTGAGGTAAGGACCAGTAAGAAGCAGTGAGGTAAGGACCAGTAAGAAGCAGTGAGGTAATGACCAGTAAGAAGCAGCGAGGTAAGGACCAGTAAGAAGCAGTGAGGTAAGGACCAGTAAGAAGCAGTGAGGTAAGGACCAGTAAGAAGCAGTGAGGTAAGGACCAGTAAGAAGCAGCGAGGTAAGGACCAGTAAGAAGCAGTGAGGTAAGGACCAGTAAGAAGCAGTGAGGTAAGGACCAGTAAGAAGCAGTGAGGTAAGGACCAGTAAGAAGCAGTGAGGTAAGGACCAGTAAGAAGCAGCGAGGTAAGGACCAGTAAGAAGCAGTGAGGTAAGGACCAGTAAGAAGCAGGTGGGGTAAGGACCACTAAGAAGCAGTGAGGCAAGGACCGATAAGAAGGAGTAGAGATAGAGCAGCTAAGCATCAACAAACGCTGCATGATGCACTCACCATTGGTCTGCAGGACTCCAGGAGTGTTTGAGGCAGCAAGAATGTGACCTTCTGGAAGAAGAGCTTGCCGTTCGTGGCGTTGTTGAGCTGGCGCGAGGCAGCCTCCAGGATGTACTGCAAAGATAGCAATATTCTCTCATTAACACTTCCACATTATCGTAACTAAAATATGTATACCCACTTCTGTGGACTGGTTCTTGTTATTGTTTTAAAATCAGAAACTGGGACAAAAATTTCATGTAGCGCGGGTAACCTTACCCGACTGGTTGTGTAAACGCTTTACACACACACACATCACACTTTACACACACACACATCACACTTTACACACATTTATTTTGTGCACATCACGCGGTTACCGCTTATTGTCCACCGCTGATGTGTGAATCATATTTCCTCTTTCACAAAAACATATATATATTTATACTTGAGCACTACCCTCACACTCTTTTATGCTCATCATAGTTTAACACGTGCACTTGACTTTTACTTATTTTATATTTTCTCATTCTTTTCAAATAATTTATATTTGAAATTTGATATTATATTTCAATTCGAGGTTTGGATTGGACTCCGGTCCATAACCAAATCCCGGACCAGTGTTGTAAAACAGTCTTTCCTATAAATTATTTGAAAAGAATGGGAAAAGTGCGACTGTGCGACCCAGGCATGTGCGACTTGGAGGACTACATACCTATGTGGTAAGCCCTGCTATGTGGTCCACTATGCACTCCTCCTTTGAAGCGAGGCTGGAGGGGGGAGACGAGGGTGTCATCTGGTTGGGGAGGGGGAGATATGTTTACTTTGCTAACACCTTAATGCTTGGAATTTGTATTGTGAGGTTATGGCTCACTTTTGGGAAAGAACAATGACACACTCACGGCTATGAGGAGGTTCGTTACTCAAAGTCCAAGCGAAAAACACCTACCTGACACTCTCCTATTGTTACGGCCTCCAGAACTCGTCTTTCCCACATTCTGTAAAAATTTCTACTGACGTTACCTGAGTGACTGCTTTTACTGGCAGAGATTTGATTTGATAGAAGAAGAAAATTGGTGTTGGTATGTGGTCCTGCTCCGTACCACTCTAGAAGGTAAGGGAGGGGAAGGAGAGGGGTGCAATGTTTACAAAAAACAGTAACCTGAGTGCCAGGTGTAGGTGCTGGTGGGGAACCTTCTGGGTATGGTGTGTGGTAACACCTAATTCAGTTCAGTTCAGTTATGTCAAACTCCCAATAGGTTACCCGACGCCCCAAAGCCTTCCTCCTAACCCAAAATTATATATATATATATATATATATATATATATATATATATATATATATATATATATATATATATATATATATATATATATATATATATATATATATATATATATATATATATATATATATATATATATATATATATATATATAACTGAAAACTCACACCCCAGAAGTGACTCGAACCCATACTCCCACAACTGGTATGTACAGGGACGCCTTAATCCGCTTGACCATCACGACCGGACATAAGGAAGTGATAGCCGAGGCTATATGAACCACTTCCCCGCCGGCACTCGGATGGTAATCTTGGGCATAGCATTTTATCAAATCACCTCATTCTTTTCATGCAAATCAATTTTGCATTTGTGTTCCTCACGTGTGCCCCAAAGAATGAGGTGATTTGATAAAATGCTATGCCCAAGATTACCATCCGAGTGCCGGCGGGGAAGTGGTTCATATAGCCTCGGCTATCACTTCCTTATGTCCGGTCGTGATGGTCAAGCGGATTAAGGCGTCCCTGTACATACCAGTTGTGGGAGTATGGGTTCGAGTCACTTCTGGGGTGTGAGTTTTCAGTTGTATATAGTCCTGGGGACCATTCAGGCTTGTTTGCATATATATATATATATACATATATACATATATACATATATATACATATATAAATATATATATATATATATGTCGTACCTAATAGCCAGAACGCACTTTTTGGCCTACTATGCAAGGCTTGATTTGCCTAATAAGCCAAGTTTTCCTGAATTATTATTTTTTCTCTAATTTTTTTCTTTTGAAATGATAAAGCTACCCATTTCATTATGTATGAGGTCAACTTTTTTTATTGGAGATAAAATTAACGTAGATATATGACCGAACCTAACCAACCCTACCTAACCTAACCTAACCTATCTTTATAGGTTAGGTTGGGTTAGGTAGCCGAAAAAGTTAGGTTAGGTTAGGTTAGGTAGGTTAGGTAGCCGAAAAACAATTAATTCATGAAAACTTGGCTTATTAGGCAAATCGGGCCTTGCATAGTAGGCTGAGAAGTGCGTTCTGGCTATTAGGTACGACATATATATATATATATATATATATATATATATATATATATATATATACATATATACATATATAAATATATATATATATATATATGTCGTACCTAGTAGCCAGAACTCACTTTTTGGCCTACTATGCAAGGCCCGATTTGCCTAATAAGCCAAGTTTTCATGAATTAATATATTTTTTCTAATTTTTTTCTTATGAAATGATAAAGCTACCCATTTCATTATGTATGAGGTCAATTTTTTTTTATTGGAGTTAAAATTAACGTAGATATATGAGCGAACCTAACCAACCCTACCTAACCTAACCTAACCTATATTTATAGGTAAGGTTAGGTTAGGTAGCCAAAAAAAGCTAGGTTAGGTTAGGTTAGGTAGGTTAGGTAGACGAAAAAACATTAATTCATGAAAACTTGGCTTATTAGGCAAATCGGGCCTTGAATAGTAGGCTGAGAAGTGCGTTCTGGCTATTAGGTACGACATATATATATATATATATATATATATATATATATATATATATATATATATATATATATATATGTCGTACCTAGTAGCCAGAACGCACTTCTCAGCCTACTATGCAACGCCCGATTTGCCTAATAAGCCAAGTTTTCATGAACTAATGCTTTTTCGACTACCTAACCTACCTAACCTAACCTAACCTATAAAGATAGGTTAGGTTAGGTTAGGTAGGGTTGGTTAGGTTCGGTCATATATCTACGTTAATTTTAACTCCAATAAAAAAAAATTGACCTCATACATAATGAAATGGGTAGTTTTATCATTTCATAAGAAAAAAATTAGAGAAAATATATTAATTCAGGAAAACTTGGCTTATTAGGCAAATCTGGCCATGCATAGTAAGCTGAGAAGTGCGTTCTGGCTACTAGGTACGACATATATATATATATATATGTCGTACCTAGTAGCCAGAACTCACTTCTCAGCCTACTATTCAAGGCCCGATTTGCCTAATAAGCAAAGTTTTCCTGAATTAATATATTTACTATAATTTTTTTCTTATGAAATGATAAAGCAACCATTTTCTCTATGTATGAGGTAATTTTTTTTTATTGGAGTTAAAATTAACGTAGATATATGACCGAACCTAACCAACCCTACCTAACCTAACCTAACCTATATTTATAGGTAAGGTTAGGTTAGGTAGCCAAAAAAAGCTAGGTTAGGTTAGGTTAGGTAGGTTAGGTAGACGAAAAAACATTAATTCATGAAAACTTGGCTTATTAGGCAAATCGGGCCTTGAATAGTAGGCTGAGAAGTGAGTTCTGGCTATTAGGTACGACATATATATATATATATATATATATATATATATATATATGTCGTACCTAGTAGCCAGAACGCACTTGTCAGCCTACTATGCAGGGCCCGATTTGCCTAATAAGCCAAGTTTTCATGAATTTATTGCTTTTCGACTACCTAACCTACCTAACCTAACCTAACCTAACTTTTTCGGCTACCTAACCTAACCTAACCTATAAAGATAGGTTAGGTTAGGTTAGGTAGGGTTGGTTAGGTTCGGTCATATATCTACGTTAATTTTAACTCCAATAAAAAAAAATTGACCTCATACATAATGAAATGGGTAGCTTTATCATTTCATAAGAAAAAATTTAGAGAAAATATAATAATTCAGGAAAACTTGGCTTATTAGGCAAAACGGGCCTTGCATAGTAGGCCGAGAAGTGCATTCTGGCTACTAGGTACAACATATATATATATATATATATATATATATATATATATATATATATATATATATATATATATATATATATATATATATATATATGTCGTACCTAGTAGCCAGAACTCACTTCTCAGCCTACTATTCAAGGCCCGATTTGCCTAATAAGCAAAGTTTTCCTGAATTAATATATTTACTATAATTTTTTTCTTATGAAATGATAAAGCAACCTTTTTCTCTATGTATGAGGTAAATTTTTTTTATTGGAGTTAAAATTAACGTAGATATATGACCGAACCTAACCAACCCTACCTAACCTAACCTAACCTATATTTATAGGTAAGGTTAGGTTAGGTAGCCAAAAAAAGCTAGGTTAGGTTAGGTTAGGTAGGTTAGGTAGACGAAAAAACATTAATTCATGAAAACTTGGCTTATTAGGCAAATCGGGCCTTGAATAGTAGGCTGAGAAGTGCGTTCTGGCTATTAGGTACGACATATATATATATATATATATATATATATATATATATATATATATATATATATATATATATATATATATATATATATATATATATGTCGTACCTAGTAGCCAGAACTCACTTCTCAGCCTACTATTCAAGGCCCGATTTGCCTAATAAGCCAAGTTTTCCTGAATTAATATATTTACTATAATTTTTTTCTTATGAAATGATAAAGCAACCCTTTTCTCTATGTATGAGGTCAATTTTTTTTTATTGGAGTTAAAATTAACGTAGATATATGACCGAACCTAACCAACCCTACCTAACCTAACCTAACCTATATTTATAGGTAAGGTTAGGTTAGGTAGCCAAAAAAAGCTCGGTTAGGTTAGGTTAGGTAGGTTAGGTAGACGAAAAAACATTAATTCATTAAAACTTGGCTTATTAGGCAAATCCGGCCTTGAATAGTAGGCTGAGAAGTGCGTTCTGGCTATTAGGTACGACATATATATATATATATATATATATATATATATATATATATATATATATATATATATATATATATATATATGTCGTACCTAGTAGCCAGAATGCACTTGTCAG